GTCCATTATTTTGTTCTCCCTTTTTTTAAAAAAAAAAAAAAAAAAAAAAAGCCCCCAAAAGCTCTGGATGTGTGTTTTATAATATCAGTGGTACAGTGGATATTTGATCCCTCATTGGTGTCCTGTAGGCACTACGAGGTACTAAGAATTAGGTACCCTAAATGTTAGGGTACTGGGCTCTACAGTTAACCCTGTAGTATTTCTTACATTCGGCAGTATCTCACTATTTTAGTGTTAGGTCCAACTGGCTTTCAATTACTATGATAGAATACAGGCTTAGAGAAGAGGCTTGAGTAAACAAATAATGATCACTACTTATGGCTAGGTGGATCAAAAAGCAATAATTGAAGATCTAAAATAACACATTATGCCCACATTTAAGAAATGCTGTTGTTTAGCACTGTCACGTTTAGAGGACAAAAGATGTTGCATTTCCCTTTTGGTTTCAAAGAGGGACAGTATCTGAGGTGTTAAGAACAACGGTTAACTTCTGCTCCAAAGTGCTGCATAGACAGGTTGTCAGGAAGGAGAATAAACTTATCATGAAGGCATGAATCCATGAATCCATGCCTAAATAAGATTAATAAGGTGTCTGTGATGAACTTTTTCATAAAATTTGGATCGAACTTTTACAATGTAAAAGCTGCACTAAAATTCAACAGGGTAGGTTCAGATGCGTATTTCAGCTAATGTACAACATGTGCTGGATGTTCATCAGTCAACGGTTCTGTATCAGCCATGTTTTTATTTCAGCAATAAGTCAGTGTAAGTTAAACTGATGTAAACCAAGTCAAACCAGAGCCACCTAAACCCAGCCTTTGTTTCCCAGTTACTTCCACACAGTGGCATGCACAGCCAGGTCCTTTGTGGTGTGCTGGGACGTACCACAGATAGACACATTGTTTTCTGTCTGGTTCTAATATTTTGCCTTACTGGATGTTTGGAAGGATTCATTCAGCCTGATACTTGAAAACTTTCACTGTAACGAAATGAATGAACAATTCACCAGGCTGTCCTGTTCGCTTTCCTTGTTTAAGCATGTGCTGGCAATGCTGACACCAGAGAAACACCTCCGAGAATTTAGAGTAGGAAATGCTATGGCAGTGTACAAGCCTTGAAGGTAGAATTTGAAAATTTAGGAACAAGATGATTTGTAAGAATTGCTGCTGTGTGGTGTATGTTGTTAGTTAGAGCTTAAATAAGGAAGATTTCTTCTTTGGTTTTTATGTTTCTGCAGCTGCAGAATGAAATTATCTACTCAGCTTGAAATCACTGGCACTGGTGTGGACTGTTCTGTAAAATCAGTCCAGGAGGACTCTGCTCTTTAGTGCTGTGCCGTACATGCTGTGCTCTTGAAAACGAATAGCTATGGTGCAATGTCTGTAAGAACTATGACCTGTTAAAAAAATGTTGAGTATTATGTATAGAATTAATAGGCTCCTGTGGATGGTAATGAGTCCTTTCCACGTTTAGAGTTTCTGTTCATAAATTTCATAAAAGTATTGAGGTTCATTAGCATAACACCCCCCCCAAAAGGACCTTGTTAGCATTCCTTAACATCAGCGTTCTTTGAGTACGTACAGGTGAGCTCTGTAAAGGTGCTGTACTGCTCCACTAGCAATCCAAGCCTAATCGTCTATATTCTTTGTACTGTTTGCTATTTTCTCGCCTGTCCTTTTCCTTTAGGATGTCTGTAGCACTGCTGTATCCCTTCAGGATGGCTTTGACAACATAATGGTAACCACTCTGAGACCGTGAACTTCTCTTTATTTTTTTCTTTCGCACAAACATGCATTTTTTTCAAGACACAGGCTGCACACTTTGCTTTTGATGAGAATGATACGCTTTGGCACTCCTCTCACCTAGGTAGCGCAGTGGCTGCATGTGGGAAGGCTGTGAATACACTTGCACACAGAGAATATTTTTTTCTTACAAATATTTCCAATAACTGCATCACTGATTATTTTTTTTTCCTCTTCTGTTGTTTCTCGCTGTGAAAGATTAGAGTAGCTGCAAGATATGTCTGATGCCACGTGCATCTTAGCATGGCTGGCGCATTCCCATTCTGCCCTCATCTCCCTGCTGGTGGCTGGGTCTGCTCCTCTCTGCCGCTGTCCACTGTGGCAGCTTCTACCATGACATAAGGTGGGGTAGCGGTGCCTGCCATGTCAGATGAGCAGTAAGGGATGGACCACACGTTGTTTTTGGCCAGCACATGCCACCAGTGCTTCCCAGGCAGCACTTGGAGCCATTCCTGGCATGGGCCTGTTCCCGCTACAGTGAGACGCAGTTGTGCTGCTTAGCTCAGGCAGTGAGGGTCAGCTCCCCTGGCCCCACGTGAGCTGTAGTTTCCAAAATACTTCTTGTCCCACCTGAGCATGACAGTATACTGCCTGACGGTCTGTTCCTAAACTATGGCAGGATGTGTGGTTATTAGAATAACCATATTTTGTTACTTCCAAAACAAGTAACAGCTAACACTTACCTGTTAAATTATTAAGTTTCATAGAATTCAGTTGTTTCTGGAGAAAAACAATGATGGCGTGAAGTTTCATCCCTAATATCTGTGTTGGAAAGCTTTCCAGATACTAATTAGAAAAGCTGTTTCAGAGTTAGTTTGCAGGACTTTCGTCCTGTCTTAGGGAAACTGCAATGTTGTTAAAAGCACTAATTGGAAAGACAAAGCAAAATGTGTTTTTAAAAAGGCTTTGTTGCTTACCCTGTTGTCCATATTTTATATATGTGCAATCATTCCTGTTATTACAGGTAGCACATCAGAACAGGGTATAGATCACCATATTTGAAGTTAATTAGGCGCACCTAGATATGCAGCAAGTATACAGTGAGGTCTCAAATCTGTCATCATTTTCTTATCTAAATAAGTGTTAGTGTTTCACTACCTACTTTCGAAGTCAGATTTGGTCAGATTTTGGTCAAAATCAGCCTACGGTGCCATGGCTGCTACAGTCGCCTTTGCCAGTCCCAGTACCACCTAGAAAAGAAAATTCCTTCCAAATACATTATGGTCACATACCTTAACAGGACAAAGCAGTGAGTTTTGCTTCAATTTAAGGTGCGAGTAGAACAAAGAGAACAGTGGTTATTACTGTAACATTGCCTCAGCATTCAATAAAAGTGTTTGGGTTTTTTCTCCTTTTTTGTTTTGTTTTGTTTGTTTGACATGCATGCACAGTTCTGGGTTGCAGCAATTGGCTTGCATGTTTAGTTAACTCTTTACTAAATTATGCCCAGAGGGAGAAGTCCCTTTGAATTTAGCAATATCTGCTGCTGCTGCTGCTCAGGAATGCAGAGCACTCTCTCACAACATGGGAGCTTGCTCGGTGGCCGTGTGCTGCCGTGGAATAAATTGATCTGTCCCCTACGTAATGAACAGCTTTTTGCTTCCATTTTGCATGTGGTTTTGTGTGTGGTGCTTGCCTGGCCTGGGCAGTGGTGCCTTCAGTACAGGTGTGCTGCTCTTGAGTCTGTCAGCTCCGCTGCTTTGTGTGTGCTTTAAATGGTGGGGAAAAGATCGGTGGACAAAACTCACTTGAGGCTCTCTGAGCACTGTGTATTGCTGGGATCATGCAGCTGCTTATTTAGTATTTTCTTACAGAATTAGGGCCTAATCCAATTTCCATTGATATAACTTTCACTGACTTTGGAGGGATGCTGTTTTCACTGCATGGGCACGAGTGGACAAATTTTGCTCTTGGGCACACCAGGTTAGCTGTCACTGAGAGAAACAAAAGGATAACACATGGAGCACCGCTCTACAGACCAGCTTCCACAGAACCCACAAGGTGGTTTGTATTACTGCGGGAAATAGCTGAAGGCACCAGTTTTTCTAGAAATCAGTCATGGTTTTACCAGATTTCACCTTTGGGTGACTTCAAGTTACATCTTTATCCTGTGGTTGGCGCCTTAGGAAAAAGTTTCAGAAGCAATTTGCTCAGAGAAATTATTGTTCTTTTTTTTGTTTTTCTTCTTTTGCCTGTGTTTAAAAAAAGAAAAATCTTAAGTACTTGAGTACCTTTCCCCTGTACTTGGCTGACATCTGTTTTATGTGCATCCCGTCCGCAAGATGTACGTTCTGTTCAGCGTTTCAGTTTCTCACCTATCACGTTGTTTTGAGAGCTCCCCGTCTGATTTTGCAGATGTTTTTCTGGATAAATTTTGTCAGGACTGATATATGTTACTCTGCTCACACCTCCTGTACTCCCTAATTTGTTTTTCAGAATTTTCCATGAGATATTGGCTTGTTTTTAAAACAAACCTTTAGTGTAGCTTCTGCTTCCTTAGTGTAGCTTATTGTATCAGAGCTCCATTCTATCTTGTCTGCACCTTAGTGACCCCTTTAGCGGTGGTCCCTGAGGCTGGCACAGAGCCTAGCTAGGTCAGTCTGTTTGTTTGTTTGTTTGTTTTTAAAAGAAAGGATGGTATGAAAAATGAGTGTGTGACAACCCTGTGGCACCCTGTGGTAGCTTTGCCCTGATTTTGCATCTTGTCCTTGACCTCTTTTGTCTGTTCTCTACCCAAAGCACAGGGCGATTAATCCAGCCCCTGTCACAGCGGTTGATGTCTCTTGGGGCTGGATCGGTTGAAGCTGGAATGCTTTCTCTCTACCGTACTGCTTCCCTGAGTGATTCCCGTTCCCAATAGGTAGCTCTGCTTATTTCCCAGGTCTGTCGATGAGGATGCATGTATTTTTAAACCCAATCCAAAATAATAGCTGAAATTCAGGACTGCTGGTTGTGCTTACAGACTTGTTAACGCTTGGTACAGTTACCACTAAAGGGATGGGAGCAGATAAAGAAGGAGAGTTCCAATGGTGCTTCAGTATTTTATCCCATGTGAGATTTTCTTTTCCACCGGGTAGCCCTGATTGTAATGTTGTTGCTTGCAGTGTGTTATCAAAGTCACTTTTAGCCTTAAATTATAATACATCTCTGTAAGGATATCCTGATCAAAATGGCAAAGGCTTTGTTGGAGGACTTGGATTTTTTGTTTGGTTCTGTGGTGAACTGGGCAGCTACAGGGAAGGAGCATCACTGCTTCCAGCTCATGTCTGCCACTGAACTTTTTTGAGTAGAATGGTTTTCAAAATGATCAAGTGCAACTGTGCAGCATCACAATCGTACAGAAAATACACAGACTTGATTGTATCCTTGGCAAATTCTCATTCACCAGTTTTTTACAACCTCGGTACTGAAATTAAGTCTAACATTTTATTTTTCCCCTCTTTTCTGGTGCTTCAAAGCATACTAATGTAGTTATAATTGAAATCTTTAAATGCCATTAATTGCACATAAATATTGAGGCAATTTGAAATGAACCAACTAGGCAGTCTGCTGATCACAAATACGGACTGTGTTTCCAAGCTGTACTGGTTGGGAGCTGGAGATGCTTGTGTTACACATTTATCATACTATTATTTTGTATGTCATCATAAAATTTGCTAATCAGCATTTTGCCTGCTTCATCTGGGGGAAAGCTAGTAATCAGGTAGCTTGAGAAAGATATCAACTGTGTATTTGTACTAGAGACTGTCATTCACTCTAAGCTTCCTGTATAATTTAATATACTGTCTTCAAGACAGCTAGAATATTTTCTTTCTCTAATCCTTTGCAAAGCCCCATTTTAAAGGGTGTCTGCAAGACCTCTGTTCAGTAAATGGCTGTTTCTTCACTGCTGCAGTGTTACAGTACTGTCAGAAATCAAACAAAAGTCAATTCTTCCATCTCCCTATGTGTAAATACAGTTCAGCAGTTTGGCACTGAGCAACAGTGCTGTCTTGAAGGAAATGGTCAAGTCTCTCCATGACTCTTTAGGACACAACTTGGTGGGGTTTGTGTCCAGAACTGGACTTGTTCGGGGTGTGGAGGCCGTATCTGATGGGTGATGTGTCTTTCAGGGTCAGCCAATCGACCAAGCTGCTATTTTCACTCCACAAGTTCGACCCCCGTCTCAGCTTCCACAGTACCCAGGGTTGCAGCAAGCACAGGTACTGGTACTGCACTACTCCCATGGAGTGTCTGCATAAAAATGCTTTTAAACAGAGCTCCTTTACTTCCCAGCCTGCTTTTCTGTGCTTGGGACATGCCTCGTGCATGTGGCCTAGGATAATGGTGAGGCCTCCTTCTAGGATGCTTGCAGTCTCTGCACGCTGTAGCTTGTAAACATTTTTAACGTGGTCACTTCCCAGTTTTTCCTAATGTTGTTGCTGGTAAAGGCAAGTGTACTTCAGCGTTAAGCCTGAAATTTGGCGAATTTTTGGGGAGATAGTGATACCAGTAACTCTTTATTATGTCATGGTCATTCTGGTACTTCGGATTTTGGGGGGGGAAACAAAGAAAAGGAGAGAGCTGGAGCTGTGGAGCAGAGCCCCGCTCTTGCTCAGTGCCTCTCAGGGAAGGGTGGCATGGTGCAAGTTCCACCCTGCTGCGTGTGACCACGTTGCAGCTGCCTGAACCCGCAAACAGAAGTGGGGTACAACCAGAGTGGGTGACTCACAGGTCGGTGCATGGGTACAGCACTGCGTCTCACTGACTTGCCTCCGGTTGTCCAGGCTTTGGCTCTTTGATAAAGGACATCTCTTTCTTTTATAGTTAAGCTAATTTAAATATGGGCACAATGAAGTTACTCTTCTGTTTTCCGTGCAGAGCATGCCTCATGGATACACGATGTACAGCACTCAGATGCCTCTGCAGCAGCAGCAGCCTGGTGGTGTAGTGCTTTCCCCCAGCTACAACCCCCGAGCATACACAGCAGCTCATTCCAGCCCCACGCTGATGGAGAGGCTGCGGCAGATGCAACAGCAGCCCAGCGGATATATTCAACAGCAGGCCACTGCGTACATCCAGCCTTTGACAGGCACTCAGCGGTGAGCTTCTGCAGTTCTCATAGCTGGTAACATTGCAGTATTTTAATGGCAACTTTGTTTAGAGATCTAAAGCTTTATTTAAAATAAAGTGTATTAATCAAAATGAGGTTAATGTTGGGTCTAATTAGCAATAAATATGCCTTTCTCTCCAATTACCCCCTGTTTTTTCCCTCATTTAATTTTTGTGTTAAGTTGGTCTTGGTGCACGTTCTAGCCCAGTTGTCCTGTGTGTTTGTAGAACATAAAAATTCATGTAAAGACAGCTGTTGGATCCTATTTCACTACACACACAGATACGGTATCCATATTATGCAAACACGTGTGTGGTATTAAACAATAAATATTCCCGGTTTACCAAAGAGTCTGTAGTCAAGAAAACACAACACCAACGTCGTAGTTTAACTAGCAATAGACAAATTAATTTTGCTTAAGCCTGAATAGACTAAATTGACTTCACTTCGGAAGTACAGCTGAGTTGCAGTGCCTATGAGAAACAGGAAAAATTCATTGGTAAAGAAATGCAATGAAACAGAAGGCAGATGAAGCAGGAAAGAAATCTGTAAAAGGGAGTGTTACCGAGTAAGCAGAGTGGAAAGCTGGAGTTTCCAATTACTGTCTTGAATCAGATTATTTTTTTTTTCTAACAGGCTAGCATAGTCCAACTAACAGTCCAACTCTGCTCTTAACTGAATCAGAAATTTTGCCACTTTTAATTTCCACTTCAAGTAGACATGTTCAGTAGAGAGATTCCCCCAAAACAGGCTTAAATTAAAAGGGGGGGGGAACAGTCAGAATTTGCAAGGTCTGCCTCTGTACACACTGTCCAGCAGTAGCTGTGATGGAGTATCTGCACAGCACAGCGCTCTTCCCGTGTGCGGGTCACAGATTCATTGAAACAGCAGAGAGTACATAGATGTCAGTCATCACAAGGTGGTCTGGCCTGTCAGCAGAGCTTCAGTCCTGTCTCGCTGATCCCATGTAATTTATCCTGGAGTACCCCGATGAGCTCTGTTACCAAGTAGAGATACTCTTCTTTCTCTGCTTCAGCTCTAATTTGATCCCCAAACCGAAATCTCCTCTAGATGCTAAGTTCAGGTGTACTTAAACGACTTGCTCATCAATTGCTTGTTGTAAGCAGAATATGAAAGTGTCGTGTATGTAGCTATGCAATTCCTTCTCAACTCTTGTTATTTTTAATGAAATCAGTGTTTCTGGAATTGTGAACGTTACCATATATTCTGCAGCAATCACTGGTTCCTTAACTTCTTTTAAATTCTTGCAAGCCTGGCTATGTTAAGAATGTGCTCAATTTTGGGTATGTTTGCACCTCTTCAAAAAGTTTGGCCTTGACTTGGTTGACAGCCTTGTACGAAAACCTACAGGATGCCTTGCGTTAGGAATAAAGCTGCTAACCTGAATTGCCTTGTCTTTACTGAGTTTTAAACAGCTAATCTAAATTACGAGCTAGCTAACGTTTTCCTCATGTATATCTTTCTGCTTTGTCAATGTTAATTACTCCCACAACATCCTAAGAAAGTGTTTCTTACTTGGTGTGCTTTTTCAGTATTTTAGGAAGTAAAAAGTCTTTATAATCAGTTTTAAATTCATGGTAGTGTAACTATGAGGTGTTTTGGTTGGGAGAATGTTTTAGCTCTTATGTGGAATTCTTGCTTGAAATGTAGAAACTCATCACTCTTCCTAATAAAGCGAGAATTGAATGCGTGGATCTGTTCCTCTTGTTTAGAGGAATGTGTTATTACCTACATCAGTTACTGGGCAATAGTATGGTACAGCTTCTATTATGGAATATTGAAGTGTAAGCTGTATATAAGCTGTTATTTTTTTTTTCCCCAATCAGATTGAGCCATCAGCCTTTGCAGCCAAATTCACTGGTTGGAGGGGGACTGGACAGTGCATCGACCGCAGGTCCTCATCCGACCCTGAACTCAGTACAGCTGCCTCCAGAGCCAATGAGACAGAGACAGCAGCAGATGCGACAGCAGAGACTCTTCCAGGTGAGGGACACAGCTGCACTAGAAGCCAGGGATATTTCAGTGCAGGAAGGGAGTGTAAACATCACTGTATCAGGTGATGGCGTTACGCGCTCGCTTGCCTGTGTATTCAAGTCTAAAGCAGCAGAGCCTGGTGCTATAAACCCGAACTGCTTTTACTCAAGTGCAATAATTCATTGTTTACATTTGGGATTTCCAAAAGAGAGCTCTGGACATATATGTAAAATTCAGTACTTTCATTTTTCAAGACTGTAGAATGCCTCTGGAGAAGGTAAATTTGTGAATGGCCTAGCTGAATGTGCTGAGACAAAAGCAGTGGTTGTGCTCTCCCCTGTCTGGCCTTATAATATATACTGGAATTAAATCGAAGGGCTTGCTTCCTGTCTGGCCTATTTCCTATATTCTGATTTGATGATATATTTTTAATTTGGAGGTAAGTATCAGTTTATCAGCTAAATATGTAGGGCTTGGCACGGGGGAAGTAAATTACATTAAAAATCCTTCCCATGTCCCTTTGATGGTTGGAGTTATTTTCATGTTTTCATTTTAATGCAATAGCTATCTGTGCCGGTTCTTGTCGAACGACGATGTATTTTATCTAAATATTTTGATGTTGTAGTAAACTAAATATACCAGCTTTTGAGTATTTTTTTGTCTTTAATAGACAAAAAAAATACTCAAAAGCTGGTATATTTAGTTGTCAGCCTTGGTGTGGCTGACGATGAAAGTGGAAAGCTGTGAGGCTAATTTCCCAAATGGGGCCTTCAGTAACCAATGCTGTAAGCGAGCCCAGATCCTGTGCTGGGCATCAGTCATGAGAAGCCATATTGCTTGGCTCGTAGTCGTTCCCTGAGGCAGTGTGCGTGTCGTGTCACTTGGTTCAATGCCCATCTTCTTTCAGTTGCAGCAGCAGCAGCAGGGGCAGCAGCAGGCGCTTGGTCTCCAGCCCGTGCAACCGCAGCAGCCTTTGGTAAGCAGAGGCAACTGCCGGATATTTTGGGCAGGTGCGAGGGTAGTGACAGGGTGGGTTTTGTCACTTACGGAGATGGGCAGCGTGGCAGTCTGGGGAGAGGGTTTGTGTAAGCTTCCCCGCATCACCATCTGCCTGCCAGTGCTGACTCCGTGGTGCCTGCAGTGCCATACTACCTCCACCGCTCTGAATGCCGTACGACCGTGTGCCCAGTGCCGGTGGCGACATGCTCGTTTTGCCTCCATCCTGAGCTGGCCACAAGTTGTAGCTGTGATAACAGAGTGTATTAGCTGGGGCTCAACAGCCTGCTAGTGCATCCAGGTAGCTCCTGGCTGGCTCCAACCATGGGCAGAGGAAGAGTGTATCTGTCCACAGAAGACTGCGTAAATGTGTCCATCTTGCCAAAACGTGGCAAGAGGTGGGTTATGCATGCGCTGAGGTGTCCTTGGAGGTGACCTCGCCTGCTGACCTCTGATGGGGAGGCAAGTACAGTTTTGATCGCAGGCCTTGGCAAGGAGGGCTTATGCACTGCCCTGCTCAACCCCTGGCGCCTCTGCAGCAGCGTGTTTGAGTTCAAAGATGTTCCTTCTAGGACTGGAGTACACGCTGCCTCCTGCACTTTCATGGTTCATTCACCAATTTAGTCACAACTGATACCAAAGTTGGGCCAATGATGATGCGTTGTTTTGGCTGAAAAGAGATTTGTGTTTGTGTAGAAGTTCAAACACTTCATTTCAACACATCTTTTTGAAATTACACTTAGCAGTATTGATTTAAAACTAATGGTTAATATCCCAAACAATACAAATAACCACCCATAGCAGTTCTTTTGAGAATTACTTGGGGATATAGTTACAAAATGGGTACAGGTGCTTTTCTAATTCTGTACATCTCTTCTCCATCACCAGTAAAATAAGACTGCCCAGACTAACTGCCCTAAGTCTCTTTATGTGAATTCGAAGGGGGGAAAAAATCAGATGCTTTAAAGTCACCTCAGTCTTGCTCCTAGTGCAGCATAAATAAATGACTTTTGAAAATCTGATACAGAACCAAGTGCTGTAATCTCTTACAGCAGATCCCCCCCACTGAAAGTCAGGGATCTTTTTTCTGGGCATCTAAAGATGCCATTTAGTAGTCCCAAAGCAGCAAGCTAAGGTAAATTAACACCTTACTGCTGCAGGAATTAATTTTTCCTGTTTATGCTTGCTGTGCTATGCATTTTTATAAGTGATATCCTCATTAATATATCATAGTAATAATAAATAGCCCTTGCTAACTTTAAAAACTTGATGAGAAATCTGTAGTTGCTGCTGATACATATAAATTGGTGGCTTTTTCTGTCTTTGCAATATTTTGAAGTGAAAGCAGGATAACCTATACGATTGAGGCTACTTGTGGAACTAATTTTTGCTGTAACGCTAAGAAAAGCGTTCACTTGAAAATGTAAGGTGCTGGTGGTTGGCATTTCTCCACCTTGCCGTACTTGTGCTGTGTTTGTGCATCCATGCTCCCTCCGCTCCCTCTGGCGTCAGCTGCGGACGCTGGCAGCTCCACTGCTACCAAACTCCAGTCCCTGCCTTAAGTCATGTCACAAGTGACTGTTAGTGACTTCAGGCCTTTGATTTTTAGGTTGTACCGCTAACATGCTGGGGAAAAAATGGGTTTTATTGTTTGAAGATCCTTTTAAATTAAATTGTTAGTCATAAAACAGAGCTACATGAAGACAACTGTACAAACAAAATTGTTTTTGAGACATTCCTTTATGCTGAATTGCAGCCTTTTATAGCTTAATGTATGATTTCACCAAATCACTATCGCTACCAAGTAATTTTTATGGACACGCCCACTGAATTTACAATGTCATTATGCTTGTTTCCTGTGTCTGGGCAGTTTTTTCAGATATATTTAAGGTAGTTGAGGATAACTAGAAAAAGTTTGCTATAGAAAAGTGGAGAAAATACAGTAATGCTGAAATTGCTAGCTTCCAAATTTAAAAGCATTAATCAACGTGATCTGATAGAGAAACTCAGGCGGCTTGTAAGTGCAAGAGTAAGGATAAATGAAAGGTGTTTATCTGATAGCTATTGAAAGATCATTTTCATCCATTTTTGAGTTTTTCTTATAGTGTTTGTATCTTGAACAAACTGCGTGTAAAAGACTGTCACGGAGGCGGAGCACCTGCCTGGCTGCAGGCTCCTCTTCCAGCACTTAGCACAGCAGAAAGCTTTCTGTGTGTTGGTTTCATGTCCCCAAGAAACCCTGGTGTGGTTAATGCTTTTGACTAATGTCAGCATTTACTAAGGACTGTTAGCCAGAAGATTACACAATGTATTTTAAGTGAAGTATTTGGTTTCAGAAAGGGAGAAGATGCTGAAGTCTTGTAAAACACTGAAACTCTCTTCAGTAAGCAAAAGGTTTCACTGAAACAAAGCATGGGCGTTTTCTGTAGCGCCTATTAGAGTATTGAATAACTCCATTTTTATTCACCACATCAGGTTTTCAAACTGGTCAGGTGTAACCTTGTGCAGAAGCACAAAAAATCACTTAATTAGAGGCACATGCATTTTCAGCAAATCTAATGAGAAGGAAAGCTCCAGGACTTAGGAAACAGATCCAGAGAGCTTAGAGGCCCTGAGGATAAGACAGACAGTAAATGGTGAAGGCTTGGTTTGGTTTGTGCTTGCTAGCATAGCGGTACCTCATTCATCATGATTTCCCTCCCAGGAGTAGGTAAGTATGATGGAGTTGTGCCATCAGCTCTCTGTCCTTGGGAGTCTGAGATAGCTCATGCACAGACGTTTTTCTTTCATACGGGTGACGCATTTTCCAAGGGAAGAAATGCTTCTTGTATACGCAGACCTTTGGCTCTAGAGGTACCCATCCCAATGGTACACACAGTCTGTGTCAGGTCTGTCTGCCATAATTCAGTAGCGTGGTGTGCAATATATTGAGTACTCTGACATACAGGTAGATGATCAATAGAAGTTGTTAATAGAGAATTACTTTCTTCTGAATGACAGCCAGAAGCGTGGAAAGCAAAGCGGTGCTTGTTCTCCTACCCATCCTTACTTGAAAAACAGACTTCATGGGTCAGATAGGTAGGGAATAATGCATGCGGTCAGGTAGACCGATTAAAGACTAAATTCTGCTTTGATGCAAGTATAAATAGGGTGCAAATTTGTGAAAGTCAATGCATATTGGGTCAGCTGTCCTGGCTATGCTCCCTCCCAGTTTCTTGTGCACCTCCTCACTTGCGGAGTATGGGAAGCTGAAAAGTCCTTGACTTAGTATAAACACTGCTTAGCAACGACTAAAACATCAGTGTGTTATCACATTATTCTCATGCTAAATCCAAAACACAGCACTGTACCAGCTACTGGGAAGAAAATTAACTCTATCCCAGCCGAAACCAGGACAACACCCAGGGTACTTTCAAAGTGGTTGAAGTCATGATTTAATTAATCAACAGCAGATTTCTTTGGAAGCTTTTTGTGTCTAATCCCATTGTGCTTAATGCCATGGACTGGAAGGGCCTTGTCTCAGTCCCTGTGGGCTTAGGGTAAGGATGAGAACGGTGATTATTTTGCTCAGTGGAGGAGTTGGCCCAGTTGGCTGGGCACTGATCTGTCTCCCGTTCCACTGGAGCCAAGAACTGGGTGTGCAGCTACAACCCTGCAGCTGGTGTGCAGCTACAACCCTGCAGCTGGTGTGCAGCGCAATGAACATCTGCTTTGTGCTCATCCTTCTTTTTATCTGAAGTGCCATTGCCCTGGGAAAAATATTTTTTGAGAAGCTTCTTTTGACTATTATGCTTCAGCCACATGTGTGTTAAAATGCTAAAAAGGCTGTTAATTTTGATTTGCAGTTTTGATTTGCCTTGTTTTTGAACAATATAGACAGTAAAGCTGCTTAGAGTGACTTGCAGGATGAACACTGGCCTCTCCAGAGGTGGAAAAGACAGAGACTGACTCTGTCCCTTGTGTCTGTGATACTTGGTAACACAACTGGAAATGCGTGAGATTTCAGAGAATGAAGAGAACAAATGTTCTGTGAGTTACAAGTGTGCTCCACGTGTCCTTACTGTGCTGTTAAAATCTGGTCAGGATCTGCTGTGGAGGCACGCCTGCCTGCCTGCCTTCTGCTGTCCCCTGTCAGCAGTTGATGGGGCAGCACACGCTGAACACTTCTGCAGTTACCTGACGTGGCACTCGCACTGTGCGTATTTCTTTCATCTTTCATGTTTCTTTTGCAGTTTCCAAGGCAAGGCTTACAACAGACACAGCAGCAACAACAGACAGCGGCACTGGTCAGGCAGCTCCAGAAGCAGCTCTCTAGTAAGTGTGTGTGTGCATAGATGTACATAAATATATATGTATATTTGAATATGGAATTATCTTTCTGGAGGTGTTCTGCCTATTTAAATGCTGCCACATATACATGTAACTAATTTACCTACTGACAGCTGGTTACCCATCCCAGTAGTGGCGTGATACCAAAATTCTGGTGCTAGTGCATCCCACGGATTTCTGTTGGTCTCGAGAAGCCCGAGTCACTGGGCTGGTGGCCCAGTCACAATTTGCTGCGTTTTTTCTCCCATCACTTCTATAGTCCCACCGCAGGTGAAGTCCCCGAGGAAATTAGCACCCCTTGCATGCATTAGATAGGTATATAGGGGAATGTATTGACCGTTGTTTGCTGCTGCTGCATGAAACACAGGTATTTTTCTGTATTTCTGTAGAGTACAGTCATAAGGCACAAACACTTCCCTTTGCTTTATCAACCAGGTAACCAGCCACAACAAGGAGTGAACCAGTACGGGCATCCTTCACACTTCTAAATCAGAGATGGAAGGGAGACGTCATGTTACGTTTGCACTGAAGAACAGAACATTCAAAATTCAATGCACTAGTTATTGCTAGAAAGCAAACTTTAGTTTTCTTCTCTTATTATTTCAATAATTATTTTTCGTGCTGCAGTTGATGTGAATATGTAACAAGGTGGGTTTTTTGGGTTCGGGGATTTTTTTGCATTTAACTAGATTTAAATGTATGGACTTGTGGGCCTATTTGAAGAATGTTATTGCAGATTTTATGAATTTGGTGCTTTTTAGGTCCTGTTACTTTTAAAGAGGACAAAGAATGCTGGATTTATTTATTTGTGGGAAACACTGTGTGTGTGTGTGTGTTTTTTGTTGATTTTTTTTTTTTTAAAGAACTGCACTGGACCAAACTACTGAACTGAAAGGCACTTCCGATTTTGGCATAAAAGTTAATTTGTTCATTAAAATGTTCACCTCTTTCTTTGTTGGTAGAACAAGCATCAATTTAAATTGTGTTTATTTGACTGTAATTTTCATATGCACTTTATAAAGTTCCTTGTTTAAAGTACCAATTTTCTCTTGCTCTCATTGTGGTAAGAAGGTGCTGAAGTGGGTTTATTGCTTGTATTAGAACTTCTTAAAGTTTATATTAAAAGCCACAATGTAATGTTAATAAACCTACTAGAAGTAGCAGTGTTTCATATTTGGTCTTTTTGATGTAAAGTTCACTGGTGATCAATTCTAAAGGAGTGCACGACATAGTAACAAGGATTGAACAGTCAGAACAGGTTTTGCTCTACTCACGTAGCGAAATCTCTAAGTCCTGGTAAAGCCTCACAGGAAACGAATCTCCGTGTCTCGCTTGATGCCTTCAGTAACAAATCTCGTACCAGCTTTCACAAAGTGAGGGTGGAAAAGCCACCAAAGTCCTTTCTGCGGTTTCAGTGCTGCCGTAGCTGACAGCTCTGTGTGCTGAAGTCACCCTAAATGAGTTATTCCTCTTACCTGTGTCTGCTACCAATGTTGTACGGTAAGTATTTCAAATTCCGGGTTTGAGTCTTGATGGCTGGGTGAGTTTCAGCGGCGTAATGTGTTATGTATTATCAGCGGAGTGCAAAACCACAAGTAAATTATAAATCACAATTACTACAAACAAATGGTTATTATTCAAACCTGTTCAAATATGCCATAATTTTGCTCGTATTAGAATTGAAAAAACAGAATAAATTTATTACTATTTTATGTAATTTAGGAGTTAGTCTATACAATTTTTATTTTTTTTTAAATGCATTCATTTTGAAAGTGGAACATGCAGGGTATTTAAAATATACATAGGAATATTTTTCCTTGTTTTGTATTAACTCAATTTGCTTAATTTACCGTACAAAGAGTTTATAGATGGTATCATAGTCAGGTGTTCTGTGGGGAGGGGGGAAGACTGCACTGCGCAAGCTTCAGAGGACTGTGGGAGGCAGTACGGCCAGCTAATGAAATAATACTCACTACACGGAAATCTGTAGAAAAGTAAATTTTGATTGGCTTTTACAATAGTCAGGTAAGTCTTGCTCATGTAAAAATTATTTCTGTTCAGTTTGCTTTAAGGAGGTTTACTGTTCTTCGTAGTAGCTAAAGCTATTACGGATATTAACCAGTGAGATTCATGTAATCCAACCATTTTGTGGCTACTGCTCCATCAACACTGTGGAAGGAGGGAACGCGCACACAGCAAACTGTATGTGGTTGACATGAGGAAATGATCAAACCAGCACAAAAGCAATCCCAGCTGAGGTTATAGTCTTAAATAAAAAAAATCTAAAAATCCCCAGGTTGATTGTGGTGTGGTTAAATGAGGTAGAATCTGCATTTAGCTCTTGGCACTTGAATACTTTCTCACTGATGAGTGTCTTGTGTGCTGATCAACTGCTGCTGAGAGATGTTAGTGCAAGTGGTTCAGGTGCTGCTGTCACGTTAGCACAGAGGAGTTTCATTGCGGACCCTTCTTCTAAGTGGTAGATCGTACAGGCCCAAAAGAGACGTGTTACCGTTCTTGGATTTTTTATTACTTTAAATGGTGTAAAGAGCTGGAATTGTTCATGAGGCAGGGGACGGTTAAGCTGAACCCTTCATACATCCATCAGAGACTCTGTAATGGATGAAGAAACCGCTCTCTTCCAACAGCCCTGGCTTCAGCCGTGCAGCCTCTGGTCCACTCCAGCGGGATCAGGCAGTGCCGGGCGCCGCTGGCTGCGGGACTAGCTGGGACTGTAGGGACAGCGCAGTTTCTTTCACGATATGCATATGTCCTGAATTTGCAAATTTAAGGGGAAAGGCTGCATTGCATGTATTTTCACCCCTCTGTCCTGACATTAATCTCTCTCTTAGGAAGCAAGAAAGAAACTCTGAGCTTTAGTTACTGGCTTAATCTTTTAAAGATTTATTTGACCAGTCCAATCCGTGATTCATTAGTGTGAAATGTGTAGGTAACAATTTCCTACCATGGTGAAGGCATTTTTCCCTCGTGTGCAGAAGGTTGCTTCTTAGACCTGTCTACTGAATTGAGAAATCAGAATTCTAAATTTATATGCAAATTGATGCAATTGTTTTCTAGTGAGAAATTTTTAAAAAATGCTTCTGTGACAGTAGGAAAATGATACCAAGCTAGAGTGTTTCTACATGCGGTCCGTACACTTTTTCTAAACAGCGCTAAACAGAGCTTACTCTCTCATTTAAAAATGAGAACAAAGTTGTTCTGTATGTGCCATCCCAAAGTTTTGCAAAAAAGACTGTGTGAAACAGAGCTGTATTATTAGAAATGCTTCACTACTTGTTTCACCATTGACTGTTTACTAAAAAAACATACTAAATATTCAAACATATTAAGAAGGTAACCTGCTGCATGACAATAAAATCTTTGGTTCTCGGATACTCTTTATGTGATCCATGCTCATGATAGTCATACAAGGTGGACAATATTAAACTAATATGAAAAAGTCTATCCTTTACTGAAGATCTCTAAGTACGTTTCCAGAAAAGTAATTTTTTTTGATATTCAATGTTTGCTGGCAGAGCAGAAGTGCCTTAAGTTTGTTTTTATTTAAGTCGGTTCAATCACTGAAAGAGCCAATGCTAGATAAATAATGCTAGATCTAATTCTCCCCAAGCCTTTCCTCTTTTTTTTGCACGGTCATTGCAGACTGAATACTGTAAATGTATTTAGGCACTTACATGCCTATGGCTGCCTTTGATTAAACTTACTCCAAGAATGAACTCAGTCCAGCTGCAGACTTTGTTAACAATCATCCGTGCTGTATTTCTTATTTCAAATGACGTGAATGTATGTTACTGTGAAATCGCTGCCAAGATGGTTCTTCGCTGTGCACTTGTACGCGCCAGAATCTGAGGGTCGGGGATTCTGGATGAGTAATGTCCCGTGGGGATGAAGCAGTTCGCTCCCAGACGCTCGGCCTTGGTTACCCGTAGAGAGTACTGAGTGGTCAGGCAATTCCCAGGTAATTTCTGGTTTTGGTATTCCCAGTGCTATGCAGTGGAGCTGAACTGCTGCACCAGGCATCGTGTGTATGGTCTGCGGTGGTCTGTTCGTAATCCTCGGGGGATAGGCTACAATAACGACAGGAACAGTTATAGAGGAATCTCCGGCATTATTGTGGGCCTTACACACATAATTTCCTCGGTCGTGAATGGCGGCTTCTCGTATAACCAAAGTACCGTTTTCCAGCAGTACGTATTTCCTGTTAATCTGCGGTCGATCCAGCACGTAGCCACCTGGCAGAGTCCACGCTGTATTTGGTTTGGGACTCCCATCAGAGAGGCAGTGAAGCGACAGTGACTCCCCGCTAATGCCCTTCACTGGCCCCGTTGGGTGAGTGAGAATAGTGGGCTTCTGGCCAACCTCCAAGACGATCAGCTTTTCAATATAGCCAACTTTATTCCTGGCAGCACAGCGATACTTTCCTGCTTTGTCTCTGTCAGGATTATAGATGGTGAGGGTACCGTTGCTACCTGTGAGAAACTGGGAAGTCTTGATGCCGTTGGAAAACCATGTGCCATTAGGCAACATCCAGCTTATGTCAGGTGGAGGGTTTCCGTCCACAGAACAATTCAATGTGGTAGTTTTTCCAGGTCTTGCTATTATTTTTTCATTGAATGGATTTTTAAACATCGGTCGCCTTAGCATTTCTAATACCTCCAGCTGCACCACCAACATACTCTCTCCCCCATCATTACGTGCCACACAGATAAAATCTGCTGTGTCAGAAGGCCTTATGTTCCGAATCTCAAGTGTCCCATTTTTGTGTACTACAATCCTGCTCCCATAATACGGAGCTGTTAGGAAAATATTATCAGGCATGATCCACATAATCTGAGGGGGAGGTGTCCCTTCTGCCCTACAGTCAATTTGTTTCTTTGAATGCCTCACTGCCGTCACTTTCATGATTGTTTTGTTCACATATAAACCGTTTATGATAGGTGGTTTAGCAACAACATCCAGTTTATACAATTTTGTATCATCCCCTCCAGGATTACGAGCAACACACATATACTCCCCGGCATCCAACAGTTTGACTTGACCTACTGATAGAGACCCATTGACGTGCAGGAAGTGTCTGGCTGTTGACGAGGAGATCATGTCACTGGAAGGTAGCAACCAGAATATTTTTGGCTTGGGTTCTCCGGCGGCTTCACAGTCCAGTAATGCCATATCTCCAGCTTTCACTTTAACGTATGTCTTGTAATTGTGCTTTATCTGAGGGGCTGCCATGACGACCGTGATGCGTATCTTCATTTCATCTCTTCCCAGTGTGTTTTGAGCGTAGCAGGTATAATCTCCTCCTTCTGTTACTCCAACTTTGTTGAGATACAGAGTTCCATTGTCAAAGAGGACGTATCTGCGAGACCTGCGTCCACTGTCGTCTGCCAGCATTGCATTATTGATCACCGTCCCATCTGGCAAACTCCAGGATATTTCTGGTGCGGGTGACCCAGAGGCCTTGCAGTCCACTTTGAAATCTTTCCCGTATGGCACCAGTTTCTTGAAATACTGTTTCTGGTCAATCTTGGCTGGTTTCATTGTGATGCTGACTTTCATCAGTATCAGATCATCTCCAATTTTGTTTCTTGCGACACACAAATAGTCACCTGCATCCTTTTCAGTAACTGCCTGAATAACCAAAGATCCATTGGGATAGACATGGATTCGACTTCCCATTCTGTTGTGGGGGGAGAAACAGGAAAAGAATTACGGAACGAAACGCTGGAGGCGAATGCTGAGCACTGAAAGTGACTGACAGTGTTAACAGCACAATAGGATACTGTTGCGGTTTAACCCAGCAGGCAGCTGAACACTACACAGCCCTTCACTCACTCCCCACCCCACCCCCCAGCAGTGGGATGGGGGAGAGAACTGGAAAAAAAGTAAAATTTGTGGGTTGAGATAAAGACAGTTTAATAGGACAGAAAAGGAAGGGAAAATAATAATAATAATTATGATAAAAGAATATACAAAATAAGCGATGCACAATGCAATTGCTCACCACCTGCCAACCAGCCAGTTCCTGAGCAGCGGTCACCGCCCCCCAGCCAACTCCCCCCAGTTTATGTACTGAGCATGACGTCACATGGTATGGAATGTCCCTTTGGCCAGTTTGGGTCAGCTGTCCCGGCTGTGCCCCCTCCAGCGTCTCGCTGGCAGGGCATGAGAAGCTGAAAAGTCCTTGACTAGTGTAAGCACTGCTTAGCAACAACTAAAACATCGGTGTGTTATCAACATTATTCTCATACTAAATCCAAAACACAGCACTGTACCAGCTAGGAGGAAGAAAATTAACCCTATCCCAGCCGAAACCAGGACAGATACAGAAGCTCTCTCCAAAGGCACTGTGTCCACATCACCTGCAGACCCAGTAGGTTATAACCTGATGGAGCCACCACTTTTGTTGTTATGTGGATATGCACGTGCTCACTGACTCTACGTAGGCGCGCAAAACTGCACGATGCCGCCTCTGCCTTCCTGAAAACTGTTCTGTGTACAAATGAGCCTGTTGAATCTTACGTCCCTCATCCTGCCAGCCTCTGCTCCTCTCCCTCACACTTCCTTCCCCTCGCAGACAACCTGCAATACTTGTCCCCGGCCAGGGGCAGCTGTCAGTGCTGCTGCACATTGTCCAGAACGACACATGGCACTGAGTGATTACTCTCTGGCTGCCTTTCCTGCAGCAGGGCACGGACTTGATCTCCCTCAGCCCAGCTGCAAGTTCTCATGAGCCTGCTAGGAACATCCTGATGTGGACTGTCTCTCCCAAAGCGAAGGTGAAGTGTTACTGTGGGAGGGGTTGGGGGGGGGGAGACCCTCAAAGGTAGAGGGCCTTGGCAGAGACTACAGAAGCTTCTTCCTCCTGAGTCCTACTTCGCAAATCTCTTGTAAATAACTTTTCCTCCTATAAAACGACCAAAATTCAGCCAATGTATGATTAACATCAGTTTCCTTAACTCAAACAAGACTTGTATCCATTTTGGTAAGACCTCACACACTTACGACAATTGATGTGGTCTGTTATTAGACGTATAATAACAAGCCATCACCACAGATGTTTCACCACTGTTAAACGTTTAAAAGTTAATTTAGTTCATAATGTATTGTTTCAGTGATGTAACAGTCTCTTATATGAGCACCAGAGAAGACAGCATTTGAAGTTTCAAAAAGGTGTGTGTGTGGGGGGGGAAGACTCCTACCTGTTCTCTTGTAAATAACTTTTCCTCCTATAAAACGACCAAAATTCAGCCAATGTATGATTAACATCAGTTTCCTTAACTCAAACAAGACTTGTATCCATTTTGGTAAGACCTCACACACTTACGACAATTGATGTGGTCTGTTATTAGACGTATAATAACAAGCCATCACCACAGATGTTTCACCACTGTTAAACGTTTAAAAGTTAATTTAGTTCATAATGTATTGTTTCAGTGATGTAACAGTCTCTTATATGAGCACCAGAGAAGACAGCATTTGAAGTTTCAAAAAGGTGGTGGTGGGGGGGAAGACTCCTACCTGTGCCACTGGTCAACAACTGCCTTAGAAGGTAATCTCCAGATGATCCTGGGCTTTGGCTCCCCAGTCGCTGTGCAGTTCAGAAGCAACTTATCCCCAAAATTCAACTGAGTCATTTCTTGAGAGGCGGTAGCTATTTTTGGAAGCGTGTCTCTGTGTTCCACCACGAGGCTCACCACCCTCCTTTCCGAGCCAGTCGAGCTTGTGGCTATGCACTCGTAATTCCCGCTGTCAGAAGGGACGATGTTGCTGAGGTGGAGGGTACCATTGGAGAACAGGAACAGCTTTGCATTTACAAACTGCAGAGGCTTCACCACTGTGCCATCAAAGAGGACCCAGTGGACAGTGGGCTGAGGATTCCCTTTCACGGTGCAAGGGAGTTTCAGATTTTCCCCCATCATTCCTTCAACACGTTGTCTCTTCTCTTCCAGAATAGTGGGAGGTGCCGCGATGACCTGCAGTTTTACAACCAGCGTGTCAGTGCCCGCTGGGTTTTTAGCCATGCATGTGTAGAGGCCCCTGTCGTAAACAGTGACTTCCTTGATAATTAAAGTGCCGTCTGGTTCCATGTGAACTTTGTTATTTCCTGCGGAAGAGTTGGAGACGTGCGTTTTATTTGCTAGAACCCACAAGACGGTGGGCGGAGGCCTGCCCTCAGCTCTGCACTTCACTGCCACGGGCTTTCCGGAGTGAGCGGTGAGGAGCTGCCACCTGCCACCAATGATGCGGGGCGGGTAGGCCACTACCGACAAGGTGACCAGGAGCCGTGCTGTGCCGTGCGGGTTGGCTGCGGTGCACAGGTACTGCCCACGGTCCTCCAGGCCTGCCCGGGTGATGGAGAGCGTGCCGTTGGCAAACACCATCCATCTGCCATCGCCTCGGCTTTCCAGAGCATCAGTCCCTAGAGAAGTAAGGGGACAACAGTGCAGCACGTCAGAACCTCTCTCTTCTGTTTCTTTTTACTCAGTCGCTGAAAGCACTTTCCCTATCCTGGTCTACTTTGCCCAAATAACCAAGACACTACTGATAAGAAAGAGAGAAATAGTAGTATTTTGCATATACAGTGACAAAGCTTTAAAGCAAAAACAGAACTTAGTCCTCAGTAGAGACAAAGTTTGGATAAAACAGATGGGGCTTTACATATTCAAAAATATTTTGGCATAGCTTTAACTTGATTTGATGGTTTGTTACCACAGACAAGATTTTTCTTTTCACTTGTCCCACTGTTCTGAAATAGCAGGTAACATACAATAAATATTGAAATCTTCTCACAATAAGCACAGAATTATAGTTAAATATAGATTTTTTTTTAATTTTATTTTCCTAAAGAACTGTTTCATAATTAGCAGTAAGACACTCCAGCAAGTGTGCTGGGATACCTTTCTTTTTCACTGTTTCAAAGTTCATCTTTTCACTCATATTTCACAGTACTCTTAAATTAAGCAATACTTGAGTTTGGCACACAAAACATCTGCCAAATACAAGACTATAACAGAAGGCAAATTCTAGAGAGGTTTATCAAGCATACCTGACGATATCTTGGTCCACTGTATTGTTGGATGGGGGTTACCAGTAGCTTCACAAGGAATAAAAGCATCTGAATTAGCTAGCACAGTAAAAGCAGCTAATTTTCCTCCAATTATTCTGGGCTTTGCAAAATGATTTCTGCTTAAAAAGTCCATGGCTATAAGACTGTTGGTGGTAGTTTCTCGATCTTGTCTCTTTTCAGACCAGCCTTTGACAGAACTGTCCTTGTCCCTTCCCCCCAGAGGAGCATACAGAGTCGTGACCTGTGATGGCTTCAGTATGGTCAGTGTATTGACAGTTAATGTGTTGCCTCTCTCTGTGACTTTAGCAGAGGACTTCTGCCGGAATTTGATTTCACCCCACGGAGGCGAGGTGGTTCTTGCAGTACGTGCAGGTGGCACAACTGCTGTTAGGGCTGGCAGTGGGGTGGGATGCTGAGGGCTGGGAGGAGAGATGTCTCTGGATGCAGCAGGAGCTCTGGTACTTGACTCAGTTCTTGCTGGGAATGTGGGCTGTGCAACATGGTTTTCTTGGATAACTCTCTCTTCCATTTTCGGGTGTGATTTTTCACTTGCCGTTGTGGTGGCTTTGATTTGCTGAGCAGGTTCTGACCCAGATGTTGCACTGACTGTGGCAGGTCGCGCACTTGTGGCACTGAAAGGCTTTGAAAGCAGTGGTGTGGTTTGGATTGGTGTGGTGGGGCTCTGAGCAATACGACTCTTGGGTGGTAATGTGGCTGACTGGATGTTCCTCCGTGTGACAGGGGTCGCTGATGTCTGCGTGGCTGCTGCAGGCATGTGCAGAGATGCGTCTGGTGTGTTAAGGATCCACAGCGCTGGCATTTCTGTCGCTAAGACTGCGCTTACGCTCTCACAGAGAGGTTTTGCAGATGTAAGACTTGTAGGCATAGTTAATGATTTAACTGTTGTCACGACAGCTGTGGCTGTATTCACCGATGGAATTGCTGCAGTGCTCTGGCCTGCAGTCATGCTTTGTGAAGTAGATATTTTAGGGGGCCTCTTCCTCCTCTGACCTCTCTTTCTTCCCACTCTGAATGTTTTACTTTTGGTGATTTTGTTGTCAGTTTGAGGAGTAATAATAGGTATAACTGTTGGCTTCAAACTTGTTACATGCATTTCTTTGGTTGCACTAGTTGCAGGATTAGAGTAAGACTGCAGTTTTGCAGTGGGAAGATGTTCTTCTGAGTTACCGTTGCCATAATGAATGGGTTTGTTTAAAGACAAGAAACCACTGCTGTGATTCCCACCTGTTGACACAGGCGTAAAGTGCAAAGGAGACATTTTGGACATAGACAATGCTGCCGTAGTTCTAGGAAGCATGGTCGATACCTCTGTTGATAGAAACATGTCTGTCTGTTGTTTCGGTAGCTTCTGAAGAAGGACCTCTTTTTGTGCACCATTTCCAAAGAGACGTTCCCAAGTAATTTCTCCTCTTTGGGAATTTTTTGCTGAGGTTCTAGGCTTAATGCTGGGTGAGACTGATTCAAGGGTAGAAGATATCTTAGTGCTTATGGTATGTGTAATTTCTGTTGTAATATGAGCTGTATGGATTGCTGTTGTTGGTCGTCTGATACTAAAAGGTTGGCCTCTATCAGTATTTGTCTGAAGTGGAGCACTGGTCTCTAATTTCCATTGAGGAGTATCTTGAGTGCCTTTTGTAAATAAAGGCATGACTGTTGTAGTGGCTTTTTGCCTTGCACTAGCTTTGTTTTCCTCTTCCCTGAGGAATGCTGTGTTTTGACGAGTACCTGCTGGGTGCTCCAATGGCATATTCGTGGTAGAGGGGGAGGACAGGGGTGCTTCTGGGCTAAATGGATTGATGGAGCTGCTTAAATTATTTAAGGTTGGTAAATTTGATACATATTTCATATTCAGTTGAACATCTGCAGACACAGCTGTACTTCCTCTGACAGATCCTGGCCTCCCAAAATTGTATCTGTGCTCTTTCATACTTGGAATATGCCCTGGTCTAACAATTCGTCTCCTACCAGAAATTTTCCTTCGTCTTCCATATTGCTGCTGGGCCTGGGGTGTCCGAGTTGTAACATCCTGAATAATCTGAATTTGCTGATGAGTAATGAAAATTGAGTCCAACGGCGGCTTAGGAGTTACTGGTTTCTGAGTACTATGAAAATAAACGTAACCAAATTCAAGACTTGGTTCACTGACTGTCACTACAGATATCTGATGATCTGTTTTGGTGGAAATCTTATCAATAGACTCAGTAAAAACATGTAGCTTGTCCTCTGCGTTTTGGGAAGTTACAGACTTGCTGGTGTCCGTAACATCTGTCATAGATACAGATTTTAAATGCTGGTTATTACTTTCCCCAGAATATACCAACCTTTGCCCAGCAGGGAAGAGTGTAGATGTTCTACTTGCTCCATTTGATACAGTTGATTGTTTTATACCATTTGCTGATATTTGACTTAAATCAGATCTTTCCCATGAGTTTGTAATTGTAGGTTTTAGATATGTTTGTGGCTTTCTGCTGTCAGATGACACAGACTGTGAAAAAGGAGAGGGTAGGGGAGTTACTGCCTCTGCAACCAGCAGAGAGGTTTTCCTAGCAGGGGTGTTACTGGTGGTCAACTCAGGCCCTGCAGTTATCACGCTTTCCATTGCTCTCTCCAGAGCAGATACAGTGGCTGTCTCTGTTACTGGTATCATGAATTCTTCTTCTGGAGATATGAGATCACCTGATGTTTCCTCCTCATCCCTAGGTACTTTTGAGAACTTACGGACCTGAATAGGTGGTTTTGTTGCAACTTCTCCTCGTTTTTCTATCAATGTCGAGTTCCTCTTTGTTTTTTCCAAAAAGGCTGCCCAGCGCTGCGGATCGACTCTCCTGGCTGAGGAAACAAACTGTCTTCTGTGTCCTCTAAACCGCCTGCTTATTTTGTCCCTGTAGTGCCTGGAAGTCATTTTCCCGTAGCTGTTCCTTTTATGTGCACTCTGTGCAACCCGATTCCTGGATGCTGAGGCAGCAGATCCCCGATTAGCTGTCAAGGTAGCTAGAGTAGCTACAGGATGTTTCTGTCTTGTAGCAGAGGCCAGCATTGCATTGCCAGAGCCATTGCCCTCTTCCCATTCTCCCACAGCTACATGCTTTTTCTTTAGAGTGGTTTCGTCCTTTCTAACTAGTACTTGGAAAACCAAAAGATCAACACCATACTGGTTGGCTGCAACACATCTGAAGTAGCCACTGTCTCGCTCTGTTACCCCTTGTATTCTCAAGGTACCGTTGTCAAAAATATGTTTGTTTCTTGCAGAATGATGAAGAATCACATGCTCAGGTAACACCCAGCTAATGGCAGCATCTGGAACAGCAGTGGATGTACAGGGAAGGTAGAGCGTGCTGCCAACAAATGTAGAAAGTTGGGCTCCATTTACACTGTTGTGTTCCACGTAAGGATCGACGACAGTAATTCTGAATGTGAGAGTATCTGCATCATTGTAATTTGTGCCTATGCAGTGATAAAGCCCAGTGTCAAAAGTATCAGCTGTCCGTAACGTGAACGTTCCAGTTTTAACTACTATGATTCTTCCATCCTCACTGATATAAGGAGCTCTAACTTTGCTTCCATCAGCCAATATCCACTCTATTGCAGGAGCTGGTTCGCCAGTTGCTTGGCACTCCAGTTCTACGGTCCCCCCGACTAAAACAGTGTGCTCCGTTTGTGTTTTGTTGTTCCTGGAGATGATGGTCCAGTTATTTCTCTCCTGTTTTTTGTCAGCACTGGGCAAAATAATCTGAGCATCTGTAAAGTATTGGATGTGCAATGTGTTAAGCGTGGTTGCTGTCCTGTCTAGCTGTAATGCCACTTTGCTTTGCATTAACCAAGACGGTTCAGCTCTCAGTTCAGTCTCTATATTGGTAAAAAGTTCATCTTTTTCAGAGTAGATTTGTTTATATTTGTAAAAAGGCATGTTAGTTGCTAGGACATTCCTTTCCAGTTTTAAGGGAGAATTACTGTACAGTGCCAGTATGCTCCATAGCTGCTGAATATGTTCATAATCAATGCCACACACAAGAAATGCCGAGAATGATGTTTTGAGTACTGTACTGTTGCCATCTTTGTCAAATGAGATGGGAGACATTTCTTTAGGTTTTTGGATGTCGCAAACCAAGTTACCTCGACTTCCTGCTTGGTCAGTCATGTTCAATATCATGGATCCTATAGGAGCTATGAAGTCCTTGGGAGATACGGAACTGAAATCCCCATCATCTGGTACTGTGAGGTTTTTAAATTTCAGGGAGTCATGTATGGCTGGCTTAGTGCAGGTTAAAGATGCAGAAGGAATATCCACTAAGCTTTTCCCTTTATGATTTTTGGGACTAGCACAAACTGGGCATTGCTGAGCACCAGAACTTCTGTCTTTTTTGCACTTTGTAACATCTGAAGGGGAGAAAAATGCAGTAAGCTTTTGTGATGCAATTTTTAGTATTGATAAAGACATATAGCTACCAGCAAGTTGTTCTCTTGAATAAAATATTAACAAAGTTTATCTTGAAGTAACCTATGAAAACCTAAAGTACCCTACGAAAACCTATGAATTTTCTCTGATGAAACTGCTTAAGGACTATTGCTATGGCAGCTCAGTATGGCGCCCTTCTGTCCCAGTGGTTTTACACCGTGCAAGGAGGGCTCTGCTGTGGTACGTGGCCATAGCTTTGTTCTGAGAGACACAGGCTCTTGCACTTTGGGGGTAACACTACGCTACCGTGTGCAACCTCTACGCAGGGCAGCAACAGAGAAAGTCCTTGAGTCCCGTTCCTTATTTCTTTTTGAAGAGTCGAGTGCAATGTGGCCTTCGCTCTTGCCAGTTACATAAAAATTAGCTTCCTTATTCCCTGTGGATTCTCCTGGTGCACAGAAACTTTGGACTGGCCAAGGAAAACATTCCATTAAGGAAAGCTGCACTTGGGAATGGGTTAAGACGACTAGATTCATTTAATCTGGGAAACTGAATGGTATTAATCTGTTTATCCTGATTACATGCACCTACAAAAATCCTGTCTTCCAGCTTTTTCTGGGAGAATAAATAAATAAATAAAGGAAAATTACCTTTATCAAAAAGAGTAAGATGCTATAACATGATTAAAAAGCATAAACAAAGTCTTCAGCTCACCTGGTCTCTCTTTTGCCCATTCTGCAAACCACTGTAGATTGCAATCACAGGACCATGGGTTTCCATGAAGGTAAATGCTCTCTAGCTCAGACGTGTAGGAAAACATTTCTTGTGGTAGTGAAGTCAACACATTGTCAGACAAATATATGTGCTTCATGAAGGATATTTTAAATACTTGGCTATAGCGCAAGGTGACAAAAGTATCTGGATGCAGCTGCTTAAGTAAATTTCCTTCCAAGTGGACCAACCTCAGTGATGTGAGTCCATAGAAAACGTTGGGATGTACAAATTCAATTTTATTGTGGTCCATATGCAACCGTACCAAGCTCTTTAGACCATAAAAAACATCCTGCTGAAGTACTCTGACCTTGTTATAACTCATTTTTAAGACCTGTTGATGAAAAAGTAGTGAGTGTATAATATTAACCCATGTTATACTGTTGTAAGACTCCTAACAAATTTTGATTGATGGTTACTCTGTGAAATGAAAGTACTTCACCAGACCAGTAACGCAAGTGATTGGAAAAACTTAGTAGAAGGAATTATTTTTAAATGCAATGTTAGTTGCAGGACTACAAGGATGCCTTCTTGTTCCAACAGTCCATCAGGGTGACACTTCTGCAGCCACTTTTACAAAACGCAGTGACTAAAACACAAAATAAAGCAATGCTTATTTCCCATTCAAAAAATCCCAGTTAAACCACGCTTATGAAAAGGGCAAGCAGAATTTGACCATGAACTGTGGAAATGATTTTTGTTCCAGCCAGTGTTATGACTGGCTGGATGCATCTGTATAAAGATGCATGCTACAGTCTATTTTGTTTGATGTTTAACCAACAGAACTGCTAGGTGTGTCCCCAGTTTCAGGATTTGTGTCACGTGAGATGTGTACTTGCCAAAACTCAACTCTCAGGTGCTATTTTGTTGCTGACAGGTTAAAAGTCAAATTCGTAACTATGAGATGAACAAATCTGGCACATTGCTGAAGTATTAAATACGGTACCCAAGACAGCCTTTTTGTTGTTACTTTTCCTGCTAGAATTACATTGTTACAGTCACGAATTCTGTATTTTGAAAATTAACGGGAGAAAAAGTACAAAATCACAATAACGTGCAAGTTTATCTGCCAAATACAATTCCATTAAAACTATCTATAACTGTGTTGCTTGTTGATGAGGGAGGAAAAGCTATACAACTCCATAAAGCTTATTTTATTAACTCAGTTGCAAGGAGTTAACAAGCAACCTTTCAGGCACAGAACTCCCCTTTGTGAGGGTTAATGAAACCTGAAGACCTGTATGCTCCAAAGCTTGTCTGCTTTCTGCCTTTCCTTCCCACCCCTGCCCCCTAATCCTCTAAAACCAGCAATTGAGCCAATACCGTGTTTTCTGTCTGAACAGTTCAAGTGTCTCATGTTCTTAGTTCATCACAGCTACAACATTATTACTTCTCTATAGCAGTTAATAACAGCTCTAGATGGAAATTTAGCTGGAGAATAAGTGTTACCTGTACATCGAATTAGTTGGGAATGGTTGTTCCTAAATAATCATGTAAGTACTGCTTTATATATGAATACCCACATGGCACAGTGAGATACCGAGATAGCTCCAGAATCCCTGTATGACACTGTAAATTTACTAATTTTTACAATATACATAAAAATAGGTAATATTTTATAAATACGTAATATTTCAGTTAAAGAACAAAACAGGCATCGAATACTACATTTTAAAAGTCCACAAATATATGTTAAATTATAAAACCAAGGAACTGTAGTTTTTTTAAAGCATTAAAATGTTTATATGTAATATGTTCAGTTTCTGTTCAGTAGGAGCCTTTTTTTAACGAAGGAGAGAAAGGAACAGGACTATACTGTACTGAAGGGAAAGGGAAATCTGGATGGAAAACAATCCTCAAAAAAAAAAAAATTACTGACTAACAAATTAACTAAAGACAAGTTTCCTACCACAGATGCAGTACTCGGAGCTCTGCAATCTTTCTCTCTCGTGTGAAAGAGAGTTTCAACTGCAGTTGCCCGTTAAGATATTGCTGACAGGTATCTACCAATATGTTCATCACACTCTGTAAACTGTACCTGAATGCCCACCTGGGAAGGCAAGACATTTCCCGTTAGGATACTGTATCTTGAAGGCCCTCGTCTTTCATGTGGATACAATAAGAAACAGGAAACCAAAATGCTACAGACCGCTGGTCTGCTTCCATTTATCAGTATTATTGCATCATTTAAAAGTCGTAACAAAAATTAAGACTAGGTCATCTCCTACATTTAGTTCTTACCTGTAATGAATATAAATCACTGAACACCTTATCAGGGATTGTATTTATCTCATTGCTGTGCAGCATCAGTAACTCCAGTTTCTCCAGGCCAGAAAAATCTGTTTCCATCAGTTTAAGCAAGCTGTTGTAACTGTAACAAACATTTCATCCCAGACCTGGGTTTAGTCAAACAGCTAAACTTCACAAGTTTTAAAACAAACAAACAAACAAACCCAAAACAACAGAACAACTCTTTGGAAATGCATGAAGGTAGATAGCACTTCTGGTTGCTAAGGGGAAATTTTAAGTCATTCCTTCATGTTAGCACAAAATTTGGTGACTTTTCCAGGGCAGCTTTCTGAAGACTGTATTCACAGTGGATAGGGAAAATAACTTCAAAAATGTGCAGACAAGAATGCCAGTTTTGGGCTTCAGTGTTGAAGAGCAAGGAGCTCCTCTAATGGTAGAGCTTGGTGACACATTGATGCCTCTTTCAATCGAGGGCTTTCCCAACACTGCGGTATCACAGAGAGGTCCATGAACAAAAGAGAGCCTCCTTTGCTGTCCCCTGAGAACTAGGTAAAACCAAGGGTACTGGGGTGTGACCCTCCTCCTGGGACCTGAATGACGACGGCTGTGGCTAGGCCGTGGTGCAGGTGGGTTCTGCAGAGTGTCTTGCAGTCCCTCCCTGGTCCTTGGCTGGACTATGCTGTCCGCCCTTTTCAGTTGTACATCTTGAGTTTTATTTTCACTCCACAGGTGTTCAATGGTGCACACTACTTGTTAATGCAGACGTAGCCTCGGCCTCCCCTGATTTCCATGAGCATACATACAGTATGGATAGTCTAGGCTGGATTTAAACAGGGAACCAAAAATGAAACAGAGAGCCCTTTAAGTGAGAGCTGCACTGCTACAGGAGGTTTGACCAGCAGTCGTATCTAAGTCTAGCTAGCGTGAGTATTGACAGTGGTGATGCTATGCTATCCCAGAATTAGTAGGTATTGTGTAAGCCTCGCAATTGCCGAGTACCTATTCTGTGATGCCTTTGACTTTGTGACTACTATCACACTTGCATGACCTGATTAGCTAACGCAGGGACTCTGCTCATGCTGGAGTCACACCTCCTATGCCCCGTGGTGACAAATAAATTGGATTAATTCACCAGTCAGATAGATGGCCTTTCTGTAGTAGTAATTAATGTATTTCAAACACATGCCCCCACCTCAGGTAACCCATAGTCCTCTAAAAGTACTGGTACTTAATTGTAAGACTTCATATACAGCACTACTGGACAACATTGACAAAATCAATGGAAGGAAAGGGCAGACAGGAGTCAGGAGCTGGGGGTCTGGATATGCTGCCCGGAAGCAGAAGGCAGATGAGGGAGAAGACTTCAATGAAAATTTCCTTTTATATTTTCTGCATACACATATGGACGATTCAAAGGTTATGCGTATCAAAAGTGATGCCAGGATCAGTCAAATATTGCTGATTGGTCTCATCATTTGATTATATGACAGAGGACACTTGCTGGAAACTGCGTTAACGGGCCAGCCAAGCCTGGGTATAATCTATTCCCTGTTCCTTTTAACCACTCACAGAGCGGAACCAGTTTGGAGGGTGAAATATTCAGACAAGTGTTATTTCCCATAAACTCAACAGACAAAAGCATAGCATTGTGTGACATTCTAAAGTCACAGCAAAGTCTCTGAGGATTTTAATACACATACTAATTTTCCAGCCCACTGTCTGAGCTCTGAACTATCTTCTCCCAGAAAGAATTCTATTTCAGACTCCTTCTGAGTTCCATGTTACAGATGCAAAATGTTTGGGTAACATAAAAGAATGCATTTAAGTTCAAAACTTTTTGAAGTTCTTACATGCCCTGTGACACATCCCCAAAATTTCCACTTAGTGTTGGTGGTCTTAGGCTTTGCTAGCTGTGATTGCAACCACTTCTGAATACTGCAGAACATTAAGCTCTTAAGATTTATTTATTGCTTTGGTTAATTTTTAGCCCTAAGTCTGGAAACTCTTAATTATTGCTTTGCAAAGTGTTGAAAGGTAACCGGTCAGAATATTTAAAATCTTGATGTTAAACATACCCCAGATTGACGCGCTCCACGTTTGGAGGGATGTGCGGTGGGATGGCTGTGAAGTACCGGAATGTGCAGTGCACCTCAGTGGGGACGTAGCAGGCGCAGAGCCTGGGACAGGCGATACTGCCGGGGAGAGCAGCCAGGCAGGCACCAAGGAGGGTCCCCAGCCACCAGGGTCTGCCTCTGCGTATTGCCTTCATCCTGTAGGAAAATACTACACTACCATCCTCCACAGCAAAAGTGAACAAATGGATTCAGACAAGGAAAACAAAACGCACAAGCATTTATAGTGACATCTGTGTTGTGTTGCTCAGTTTTAAGCTACAAGAACAAGAATAATTTTGTAACTTGAAAGAAAAACCAACCCGCAAAACAGACCCAAACCCCTTGGTTTTCCCCGCAGTATTTAGATCTGTGTAATGGTCTAAAATTCATTTTAAGAAAGAGCCTCACAGTTTCTTTGTCTCAGTGCGATGTTCCCCATGAGTTGCTGCTTACAGGTAAAGTTTTAATTTTTGAAGGAAGCAAACGTGGAAACTAATATTTGGCTGTCGTTACCTCATGACTCCGGGTATGCAGAGTGTTTATAAATCTGCTAGCAATTTATCCTCGGGAAAGAACACGTCAGCTCCTTTCTTGCCAGTAATTATTCCAAGCAAAATTAACTAATTTCAAAGCCCGCGCGCAGAGC